ACATGAGTTGCAAATTTATATATTTGTTGTTGGCTTGGTTCTTGTCTCTCTTCCCCATTGGGCTTTAGGCTTCAGAAAAGGGGAGACTTTGTATCACTCATCACTGAATGCCCAGAGTCTAACACATAGTAAATGCTCAACAAATCACCCATTGAATGAATAGTTGTGAAGAAATCGCTGTCAGAGAGGACAGAGGTTCACTGAATTCCAAACAAACCCAGAATGCCAGCATCTGTGTGAGGACACAAGACCTCTCTTCTACCTTGATCACCCCATCGCCCACCACTCAGAAAAGGCCTCTCTGGTTATTGTTGGCCTGTATCTATTTCCTCCTGATATCCTGATACCAGCCTTTCCGAAATTCTCACGGTAGTGCTGGAGGTCAAGGTATTTTTAAACTAGAAGAACTAGCCAAGCTGGTATTTTTTTTAAGTGGTGGAAAAGAAAAACTAAGATTTGTTTTTAATCATTTGACTTTCAAATCTAAGAAGGCGCGATGCAAAGAGCATGTTGGCATAAACAATTGCTGCCCGCTCAATGGAGGGAGGGAGCCGTTCTTCTGAGCTAATTTAAGCTAAATACATGGCAGCTATTTTTCATCTCTACAATTGTGCAACTTTCTCCTCCGTTTACAATACACAGGAGATATTATCGGGCAGAAGGTGGATGGGGGATAAGTGAAGAGGGGAAGGAAAAGCAGAGGCAGTGGACAAGAAGGTACTCTCAGCCACTGAGCTGGTGATTAGAGGTATTTCAAGAGCTCAAAGAGTAGAGTTGGTGGTCCACTAGGACCTCAAGATCTTATCTGGGTGGAAACTTGATTTTGAGCCTTCCATTCAGGGAAGAAACCAAAGAGTAACTGGAGTCAGGCTTCTTTTCCTGCCCTTTATATGCAACACCCCCTGACTTCCCAGAAGCCCAGACTGAACTGCAGAAATTTTACAAACCTCCTCAAGAAAGAAAAGCCCTTGCAAATCTCCTGCACACCACCATGCACACTGTTATTCCTTAAGGCCCCTATATGCCATGACTTCCAGCCCAGATGTTACTAGACTGGGGGTAGCATTCAGGCCTTGTGGTGAAGCCATTCCAGAAAAGAAATGATTTTTCTCCAAGCAGGCAGATTACCGAGTAGGATCATACACAAAGTCTTAAAGACAGAATCTTTCTTTCTGCATTTTCCAAGTTCCCTAAGAAGAAACATCTGCAGGGCCCTGATAGACTGTCCACCAACTACAGCCCAAATGACTTGGCTTCTGGAAGCTTCTGAGGCCTGAGTTCTAAACCTACCTCTGCCTCTTATTAGGGACCTGACTTAGGGGAGTTTATTATAGCTTCCCCCTCTGGGCCTCAGATTCTGCTTCTGCAAAAGGAGAAGTGTGAGATAAGGGAGGGTCACTCATATCCATCTTAAGTGGTAACTCGAATGCCCTGAAGCTACATCTGTGATCAGTGGGAAGGCATGCTGTGATGGATTAATGACGTCTGCCAAGAGTACAGGAGGGGACGCTGGTGGTAGATCCATTACATATTTGTACTCCTAGGACCAGACCTTTATCCTTCTAGATCTTATAGGTAGAGGTCCTTCTAGATTGTCATCCCAATGACTTGGTTGAAGATTAAAACCCAGGTGAAAACTTAACTAACCCTTCTGAGGGTGTTACATCTTAAAATAATTTTCACATTGGCCTCCAAGCCATAGTATGTTGGAGAAGCCACCAACACACAGCAAATTTGATCCCTCGATTGGGAGACACCATCAGCCAGATGTGGTGTTCTTGTTCATGGAAACACTGTCCACATGCATGGAATCAGGGTCTAAGCTACCTTTCTCATCTCCTAGCAGGGTCTATGAATGCTAGTGGTCAGCATTTTTCTGTAGGCCAGTATACTGACATTGCCTCCTTCAGTACAATGTAAGGTATCAAGTCTCATTCACAGAGGTTGACCTTGTTGGAGATTCAGAAACAGGCCTGGGAAAGCTTGGGAAGAACAGTATCCTATCAGTCATTTACAGATTCAACCACACAATAGTGTCTGAAAAGTTCTGATAAGTCCTGCAATCAAGAAATTTAGTTTCATTTTACCTAAGCATTTCCAATGCATACTTGTCCCAGGACCCTTTCAATAATGCAGTGTCCAGCTAGTTTTCCATGGAACGAAAGGTCTATGGAACACACTTGGGAAACAAGGTCTTATTTAGATCAGGCACATTCTAGACAGAGTCCATCTCCTCCAGCTCAGTCCTCAGTGGAAGGAGGGCAGCCATTCTCAACCCCATGAGGTGAATCCTTCATATTCTTGGTGTTAGGAAATGGGAGCTGCATGATCCCAATGAGTGGGAAGGAAGGGCCTTTTCCCACCCCTGAGAGGGAAGAGCACTTACTGATGTACGCCTCTCGGGAACACAGGACCACAGTTCAATGTCCAGCGTGAGAGAAGGAGGGGATGGGAAGCCTGGAGCAGGGATGCTGGAGGGACCCAGAAGGGGCTCTGCCAACCGAGACACACATTTCCTGGAAATCCGGGCTGCTGCTGGCAGCCTGTCAGTTTGAGAACATAAGTGCAAGTTTCCGTGCAAACTCCCAGGAGGGTCCCTGCTGGCCCCTGCACCCTCCCTTCTACAACTTCCTGCTTTTCCTCTCTCTCTCCTGGTTCCAAGTTGCCAATAAGTGTCAGAGGCTGGGACTGTGACATCCCCATGAGCAGCTGGGCAAGAACCCCTGGACCTGGGGGTGGGTTCCCGGGAATGGACGAGCCCAACGACTTGTTTTTAAAATGCTGGGTCTGCAATTAAGAGGCTGGCTTCTGTCCCTGTACCGCAGTTACCTCATTGAACTGAGAATAAGTCTACCTATCTCCCCAAACCATCATAGGAATTCCAGCCTGGCATGTAGTAAGTGCTCTGTGAACAGAGGCTGTTCAGGGTGGATTGTTACTCTTTCTCCTAGACATCCTGGGCCACCTGATCCAATGGGTCACTTCATAAGTCACAGATATTAAACCCGGCAAACTGGCTGGGCACAGTGGCTTACCCCTGTAATCCCGGTGCTTTGGGAGGCTGAAGCAAGGGGATTGCTTGAGACCAGGAGTTCAAGACCAGCGTGAGCAACATAGCAAGACCCTGTCTCTACAACAAGTAAAAAATTAGCGAGGCATGATGGTGTGCACCTATAGCACCAACTACTTGAGAGGCTAAGGTGGGAGGATTGCTTGTGGCCAGCAGTTTGAGGCTGCAGTGAGCTATGATCATGCTGTACTCCAGCCTGGGTGACAGAGCAAGACTCTAAGTCTAAACAACAACAACAAACCTAACAAACTCATTGGGGTTGATATGGCCCCCACAACACAGTCTGGCAAAGGGGAATCCCGATACCCGCCAATGGTGCCCTTCTAACTCCCTGTGCCCGGGTCTTACTCTTACCCAGCAACCCTCTCTGTCTGCATTCTGTAAACATTTCTTAGCACTTACTATGTGCCAGGCACTACTAAGACAAGTCCAGTAGGTCAATGGGACTGCAGATTTTCCACTTGCCCCACTACTGGTTTCAAAATTAAACTGGTACCAGAATGGGTATGGATTACAGGGCCTCAAGAAGGGAGTCTGGGATTTGGGTTAATATCATAGTCAGGCACTGAGCAGAGAGGACAGAGGTTCACTGTGGCTCCACATTCCAGGACCCAGACTGACATTTGCTGCCTGTCACTCCCCTTGGAGTTCAAAGTGATTCCCTTGCAGGTGTGTGCAGGTAAGGGTGAGGTGGTACGGGAGGGGGCGAGGCTGGGAGCCAGGGAGAGTGGCCGCGTGAGTCTGCCTGGGAACTTCCCCACATCACGGGCAAAGCCAAAAAAGGAAACAGCAAAATGTAGCTCATAAAACCCACTCCTTTGTCAATGAACAAGAGTATAGAGAAAAGCAGATGCTATGTCACCAACCGCTTTGGATGGGGCCATGAAGCACATTCAGGGGTCAAGTGACAGTCCTGCTACAGACAAGCCACTTACACACAGGCTGCTCCCACACAGCCACAGAACTGAGATCCAGAGCTGTGGGAATTCAGTGATGGGACCTGTTGATTAGGGCAAGCTTGGTAAGCATGACAGCAACAGCCTGACCTTGTAGACCAGGAATTCTGGGGAATCTATCTTCCAGGGGACCTGGATTCTACAGTGGAGGACCAGTCAAGGCACAAGAGAAAATGTCTTAGAGGGTGTTATGAGTTGCGGTCTCCCCACATCTTTTCCCCACCAAAAAAAAAAAAAAAAAAAAAAAGACATGTTGAAGTCCTCATTCCTAGTATCTCAGAAAGTGACTTCATTTGGAGAGAGGGTCTTCGCAGATATAATTAGTTAAGATGAAGTCATACTTCAGGAGGGTGGGCCCCTAATCCAATATGACCCATGTCCTCGTGTCCTTAAAAGAAGATGGCCATATGAAGATAGGGACACACAGAGAGATGATGAGGGCAGGGATTGGCCTGACATGGCTGCAAGCCAAGGAATGCCAGTGATGACCAGGAAAGCACCAGGAGTTCAGAAGCCACCAGGAAGGATTCCCTTACAGATTTCAGGGGGAACATGGCCCTGCTAACACCTGGATTTTGGACTTCTGGTGTCCAGATGGGGGAGGGATGATATATCCATTGTTTTAGGCCCCAGTGGGTGGTGGTTTGCTGCAGCAGTCCTAGGAGCCTCACAGAGCTGAAGAGGGCTTGGGCATACTGATGGCACAGTGGAACAAGACCAGCCTGCAGGCGATGGATGTGTGAAGTGAAGGTGCGCAGAGGATGAGGACAGGGAGGGCATATTTGAGAACTCAAGATTGAGAACCAGTGTGGGGAAAGAAAGCCAGGGATGGGAATAAAATCACAAAGCATTGGAACCCTAATCTAATAAGATTATTGTCCTTATCAGAAGATGAAGAGATAATGGGGATGTGCAGTCACAGAGGAAAGGCCACATGAGGTCATGATCAGAAGGCAGCTGTCTGTAAGCCAAAGAGAGAGCCCTCACTAGAAACTAACCCTGCTGACACCTTGATCTTGGGATTTCCAGCCTCAAGAAGTGTGAGGAGTAAATTCGTGTTGTTTAAGCCACTCAGTGTGTGATATTTTGTTCTTATGGCCACCCTTAGCAAACTAAGAGTATTAAAGTCCAGGGAGTCGATCCAGCCTTCAGGGCCTGAATTGCCTCCGAATCACACAGGCCAAGAAGTCAACCTCTGCTCCACCCCATCCAAGGACAGGGAGTTCTCTACTGCCCGAGGTGGCCTGCTGAATCCTGGGGCAAGCTGGCCTTCTTCCACTGAAACAAGTTCTCTCCCCCTCCAGCTTCCTGTTCTTCCCCTGAGAGCCATATCCAACCCTCTCTATCAAAGGCTAGCAAAGTTAGGAAAGGGCCAGATTGTAAATGTTTCTGACTGTGGGGGCCACATTGTCTCTGTTGCAAATAGCCGGCTCCCTCACTGTAGCACGGAGCAGCCGTGGTTGTGTACATGGAGAGGTGGCTGTGCTCCAATAACATTTTGTTTATTGACATGAAATTTGAATGTTATAGAATTTTCATGTCATGAACTATTATTCTTTTGATTTTTCCTCAATTAAAACATGTAAAAACCATTTGGCAGGCTGGATATGGCCTATGGGGCATAGGCTGCCAGCCCTGGGTTTAGATTTCTCAAGATAATGATTGGCCTGAGCTCTGTGTCTACTACTTCCTCCGTGTGCCTTTGACGATCAGCTGTAGGTGGGGATAGGGATGGTGGAAGGTGAGAGAAGGCTGGTTTTGTGTGTTTGTGGGGAGGGACGTGATGTGTGTATATGGCATGGGAGTGAGAAAAAGGGAAGAACTAGGTTTTCTGGATACAAAAGTCTAGTGATCAATATCAGTCAAGGACTTCTGTTGACTGACAATCCAAGGTAGCTGTGGAGACAAATGGATGGGGTGAGGATGGGGGGTCCAGGGCAAGATGAAAATTTTCTCTTGGATCAGTAAAAGGAATACTAGGACGAAATGGATCTAAGCAATGACTTTGGGTTTCCAGCTTGGCTCTGGGGATGGGGACACAAGGAGCATGTCCTCCCACTGGAGGCCAAGAAAGAAACTCCTTGGTTTTATGAACAACCTGTACTCTGGAAGAGTTGAGTGAAATTTATGTGCAAATCCACATGCCCTTTAAAGAAAGCTGAGATGTTTCTCTTTGCAAAGCCAAGGCTTCCTGGTGAATCTCCACCCTGTGGACTGGTCCCCTTGGGAAGCCCGTGTATATGAGGGCTTGCTAAAAGCAAGACAGACTGGAACAACTCGCTGTTGAGTCAGTGACTTGTGTGTACTGGGCACCTGTGTGCAGCTGTGACGGGACAAGGGCAAATACACAAATCTTGGTCATGTGGATTGTATAGAATGAGTTGAAGGTGAGGCTGGTAATTATGATGTAAAAATATACAGCCTCTTTCCTCTTTTTTTCTCCCTGCATAAGATGAATATAACCTCCTCCCAAAACTTCATCAGTGAATGAAGATGGAGGCCAGCAGGGAAAGCAGTGGTCTGGTTCTTCCTGGATTTAAATGTGTGCAAATTAGAGCTGGCTTCTCAACAAGTCAGGGAAGTGTAGGGGGGACAGGGTAGGGGTGTCAGGAAGGGACTGAAGGCCAGGAGCCTGGCCTGGCTGCAGCAGAGACCAATGCATGTGGGGACAGAGCAGTGAAGTGGGGAAAGATCGAGAAGTCAAGAGCAAGTGACACAGATTCAGGGATGGACCCAAGGCACCCTGTTCCACAAAGGGCTGGGTTTTCCCCCTGGATCACTCAGGCCCTGTCCTTAATCCCAAACTGGGGCTCATGAATGAATAGAAAAATCAATTGTTGGAGACCATGCTAGGCCTTGCCAAAGGCTGTGGTTGGATATTTTAGTTAATTCTGGAAACAGAAGAGGCAAGAGTGAGAAGGTGCCAGTTCTTGTGGACATTTCAGCTGCAGGGTAGTAGACCCTGGCTGCCTTTTCCTTCCTCGTATCCTTTCTCTTGGCACAAGGGAACATGACAAGGACTGGAGTCCGTGGACCCAAGAAGTCCTGGTGTGATGGAAGAGAAGCGAGTGGTTGGGTTTCAGGCACTCAGTAGGCTGCTGGGCAGAGCCAAGGCAGGTGCAAGTCCAGGCCAAGGGCTGGGACACAGAGTGTTGTGTTGGGATGGGGAGGTGTCCATTGACAAGAGCCATCCCCAAGAACCCCAGAGTGGCTGGGGCTCAGGCAAACATGTATAAAATGCCTCCAAGACACACACATGTCAAGCCAAGAGCCACAGATGTCCCCAGAAGAGCAATGTCCACTTAGGAGCAGCCCAAGCCGGGTCTTTAGTCCTGTAGTCCCAGATAGCTGGGAGTGTTGGAAAGGCAATTCGGGAGGGCCCTTTGGGAAACACAGGGGTTTCCTGTAGCCAGGCTTCTGCGAAGCATGACTAGTCTCATCATTCTTCCCAGTGTGGAAGCAGGTTTGGCCCCCAGAGCATGAACCATTCTGAGAGCCAGCCAAGGTGGGGAAGAGATCCCTATAGGTCTGTTTGGATTTTGAGAGTAAGATCAGGTAAGGGTTTTTGAAGTTCCAGTTCCTCTCTCTGGCTCTCTAGGAGGGAGATGCCTGGATAGATAGCAGCTACAAGAAGACTAAGGCCCAGGCAGTATCCAGGAAATACAGAGGGACTGTGGGCCGCCCTGGGCTTCCTGTTCACTGCCCAGATACTCCTGCTATTGCTCTGCTTGGGGACAGATTTCCTTTTTGTACCCGGTCACATTCAGGGGGTCAGGGCTTTGAAAGCATGGGCAAATGACCCAGAGGCTCTCCTCTCCCATCTGCATGCCCAGCCTGCTCCTGGCATCCTTCCTGCAGAACACCAGGGGTTTCTCCAACATGGTCAGGAAGAGTCGCTGGCCCAGGCTGGGAGCAAGAGGAGGGAGGAAAGGTGGGGCATTGAGGGAATACACACAGGTGAGGGACACAGGCTCCCGATGGGGAAGCCACTCCAGGAGCCCGCACCAGGCTAGAGTGGAAAACGCAGAACTGTAACAAATGACACCCCGCTTTGTGCTCCCCCAACAGGACTGCTTAAGGGTGAAAGGCAGGGAAATCTTTTGCAAATATGTTATCATAGGTACAACCACATAACCCAACATGGATGTATCCCAAGGACCCTCATCCACCACGGTTGGGGAATAAGCTTCACTGGTGTGAGTAGCAGAGAAGAGGGAAGAAAAGGAATGTCCTAGAACTCCCTGCCCAGAGCCCTGATTCTCACGGACCAGACTTCAGGGGGTGCCCTGAATGACGGTGAGCTCTAAGGAGCTCCTCAGAAGTCATCTTGGCTTTCCAAATGGCAAGGAGGTGGGGGCAGTGAGGTGAAAAGGGATGCTACTCTCAGAGAATAGGAAAAAACAGCAGTAATGGGGGCATAGGTTCCCCAGAGAGACCCAGCACTCAAAAGACGTTCTAACTTTCCTACTGTACTTCAGAGCTCTACGCAAAGGTGCCACATGCCATGACAGACTTGGGTTGGGGTGTCTGAAAACAGATATTTCCAAAGGAACAAGCTTAGCCGCTCCCGACCTTCCCTACTCGATCTTGGCTCAGTAGCCTTGACTAAGCCGCCGCTCGGCTCTGTACCCCTCCTCTTAGCTTCCCAGATGGCACAGCTGGAAACCACTACACAAAGACAGAACTGAGGGGTGCCCCATCACCGGGGCAGTCTGGCTCTTGCTTGTCAAGGTGAAACAAGAGTGAACAGCGTCGAACACACAGACACACACACACTTAGCCCCAGCTGTGAGCCCGCCCATGTGGGGCCTCCTGTCCTAGTCCCATAGCCCAAAGGCACCACGTGCAGCCTGCAGTGCTCTCATTTGTGCTGTTCCCTGGGCCGCACTGATCAATAATGCATCACCCTGGCTGGTCCGGTTCAGTCCTAGCTCGGGGGTCCCCAACCCTGCCCGAGGAAAAGGGCTCAAGTCTGAGGTGCAGGGAGGCCGCCAAGCTGTTGTCCAGTGCTCCCAGGTCGGTCAGGGTTGGTACCCTCTGATGCTGAGTCTCTGGCCTCCTGAGCTGGCAGAGGACAGAGCAGGGAGGGAGAGGTGACGGGAGCCCAGGCAGCTGGACGCCGTCCCGGTGTCCAAAGGTCACAGCCTGGAGTGGGGAGAGAAGGGAGAGAGTGGTGAGTGGTCACAAGCACATGACGATGTCATCCGCTGTGAATGAGCAGCCTCTCAGAGGGTCAGGTGGCTTGACAGGAACACTTCCTGTCTTCTGCAAGAAGACGTGGAAGAGATTTCTGCTAACTGAGGTCGTACTATACGCTGGGCTCTGTGCCGAGTGCCACACATACCTGATCCCATTGAAGCCTGAGATGAGCCTGCAATACAGGCTACGAATATTTTCAAAGATGAAAATAATCAGTGATGAACTTCTATGACAGAATCATACAATTTCACAGAGGAAAACACTGAGGCTCAGAGAGGTTAAGTGTTTTGCCCAAGGACACACTGCCAGGAAGCAGCAGCGTCAGGATTTGAACTCAGAACTTTTCCCCCTTGGGCATGGACTAGGAATGGTCATCCAGTGCGTGGGGCTGGAATAAAGCTCCATAACAGCTAGAGATGCAGGAAGAGGGGGTGGGACTGGGATCCACACCACAGCCTCCTGCTACGAGCAGACTTTGATGTCCACTGCAGCAAAAGGAACTCATTTATTTTGTTCACCGCTGTATTCTCACTCTTAGAACAGTGTCTAGCACATAAAAGATGTTCAGTACACATAGGCTGAATAAAAAAAGAATGAATGGAAGAGGAAATGAATGGAAAATTCCACTGAACCCAACATCCCATTCTGCTAGACCACAAAGTTTCTGGTCCTGTGTTTGTTTGTTTGTTTGTTTGTTTCAGCCCAACTCCACAATAAAATATAGAAAGAGAAGCCTCCTGCTTTTCCCTACAACCAGTAAACTTTAAGTCCCTCTCTTCAGTTGAACTGCTGGGTCCTGCCTGGAGCTCCAACACTAATTCTCTAACTTGCCAGCACTCCTTTAGCTGGGCAGAGTTTTTGCTTGTTAAAGCTTCCTTCTGTCTGTTTTCGTATCCAATCCATTGTAAATCCTGCCAGGCTGCCAGCATAGGGCTCATCCTCCCTCCTGGCAGGTGACGGCAGCTGAGCTACAGTGAGTGCCTGCTATGTGGGAGGCACCTGCTCACCAGGTGCTCTGCACGTGGCCACATGGAACCTGCACAGCACTTCTGCCAGAGCAGTTTCACCGCCCTCACCTTTCAGAGCATGAAACTACAGCTCAAAGAGGCCGAGTGACGTGCCCAAGGCCACACAGCTATTACACAGTGGAGTGGGAATTCCAATCTACGTCTGTCTGTAAAGTTTATGCTCCTTCCAATGGTCTGGGGAAAGGATAAGCCCCTGGGGAAGGAAGAGATTCCATCCTGCAGGTTCAGCAGCTCAAACGGCCGGGGAAGGGAGGAAAAAAGAGCCTCCTAATGTCCACAGCCCCCGGGAACATCTGTTCTTCAGGACCCTGCCTTCAGGAACTTCATGGGAAGACTCTGACAATGGCTATGGTACACCACGCCCACAGGTGGGGGTATCTATATCTGTGGGTACTGCTTGTCTTTAGTGGGTAAGCCATGGTAGTACAAGTGTGTATATACACATGTCTTCATGTGCCATGTAATGTGATTGTGATTGTGTACCTATGTGTATGTGCCTGAGTCTGCCTATGTGTGCAGGCTTCCACGTGGGGGTGTGCGTTCATGGAATGTTTTTGTATACGGATGTGTGTGTGTATAGATCTGAGTGCAGCCGTGTGTGAATGAATTTGTATAGAGGTATGTTTTTAAGTACTGTTCCCGGGTCTGCATGAGTGTGAGTACCCGAGAGTGTCCGTGTGAGTGTGCACAACCATGAATACATGGGAGCAACTGGCAGAGCCATGGGGAGCCCTCAGTAGCCTCATCTGGGCCTGTCTCCCTCTTACCTTCTAGAGAGTTCAGTCACAGAAGTTGGGGTTGGCGAGGGAGGTCCCAGAAAGAGATGCCACACTCATTATCTCAGATAGAACTACTGATCTCCAGCCAGAAACAAGAGGGAGGAGCAGGGTCTGGGGCCTCTTATGAGGAAGCTAGAGATACTTCTGGTAAGAAGCTCAGAGCCTTTCCTGCTCTGGCATTCATGCAATGGAGAATGCTGGAAGCTGTGATCTGCTGTGACAGGGGCAGGCTGCTGGCCCAGAAGGAAGAGTTCTAGAAAGCTGGGCCTCGTGGAGGGGTACTCTGAATACCTGACATGTGGGGGGCTTGGCGGGTTCAGGCATCACCTCACTGCATGATGCTCAGACTCATCAGGGCATCAGTCTTCATCAGGAAGAGATAAGCAATGAGAAACCCAGGGTAGCTGCAGGAACCAAGACCCCACAGGACAGACTCCAGGACCCAAACCCCCAAACAGACTCCACTGAATGGAAACCTAGTAGGGAAGGGTGGTTGCCAACGGGTGGGCACATGGACAGGAGCTTTTTGGGGGAGAAGTAAAAAAGGGGCAGAGAGGATCAAAAAGGTGACAAAGGGCAGAGGACAAGGCAGTGGGGAGAGATGCTAAGGGAGAAAACCTACTCTGCAGACTTCCAGAAATGTCCAGGGTGAGATAGGCGGCGGTTTCGCTTTGGCAGTTTCTCCAGCATGTCCATGAGCTTGGTGAAGGTAGGTCTCTCTTCTTGTTCAAAGGCCCAGCAGAAGAGAAGAATGTCCTAAATGAAACCAATGTGTGGTGATTACACATAAATGGTGACTTTTTGATTACTCTTTGGCATCACATTTGGTCCGCCAATTTGTCCATTCATCTGTCCCATTTCCATATTCCTCCATCATCCATCCATCCATCCATCCATCCATCCATCCATCCATCCAGCATGTATCTACACATCTACCCATCCATATCAATTCACCCTTCCATCTTTCATCCATCCATCCACCCATATATCATCCATCCATCCATTCATCCACTCATCCACCCATCATGCATGCATCTATACATCCACCCATCTATATCAATTCACTCCTTCATTCTTCATCCTTCATTATCTATCCATCCATTCATCCATCCATCCATCCATCCATCCATCCACCCATCACCATCCATCCATCCTTCTTCCCATGTATTTTCTGAGCCCAAATAACAACCAGGTAAGCTCTATTCTAGAAGGTCTAGGATACACTGAGATCAACAATACTTCCCAAACAGTTTCTTGACATTTTTCTTAACAGAAGGGATAAAAGGGAATCCTGGGGTCTCCATCCATATCTCAATACTATAAGAGCCCTTCAAAGTCAGAGAAGAAAAGTTACTTTTAGTAATCTCTTCATCACCTAGGTACAAGTAATCCTTAAAAACATAACATATAATTACTCCTTCTCTGACTTGTGTGTCTTCTGATCAAAAGAGAGGATTCTTCCTGCTGTGTTTTAGAGGAAGATTGTTAATATATACCCAGGCTTCTCTGTTTCTGTATGTCTTGTTCTGAGTTAGATAATGCCTTAAATTATTATGTAGATGCAAATAAAATTAGAACCATTAATATTTGTGATGTTTTAATTCATATCTTTTAAAAATAGCAGAAAAAGAGGGATATATGGGTTCTACCTAACTCAGCAACCCATAGTCAGGAAAAACCTGACCACGTGTTACTGTGCCCCTGGTGGCAGGTACCTGAAATTGCAGGCACAGTGCAGCAGCCTTGCCTTTTAAGCTTCAAACTGCTGTTTGACAAGGTTGCGATGCATATTTTTTTGGTCATCCTATGGGAAAGCATTTGTAACCTTAACACATAGTAAAAAGAAGGCCTATGACTGTGTCTGTGTCTCCCCTCATCCCCCAGGTCTGGCCCTATCTTGGGACTTACCGAGATTTCTTTTCCCATGCCAATCTGGCTGAGGTTGGGTTTCATGCCTGTGCCCATTTGCCATATTATTGCCTCTGCCGGTTGGGTCTTGAAAGGCCATTCCCTGGCGTGGAGTTCATACCAAATTGTGCTGTTGGCAGACGTTGTTAAAGGGGTGTTGGTGTAGTGTGTCACTTGCAATCTTGTACCTCCATTATTAACACACACCCACCCAGCCAGCCTCCTGGCACCCATTCTTCTCCCCAGTTTCTTCCTCATGGGGTAGGTATTTTGCCACGTGGGACACACCTAAAGCTTTCTTAATGTCTTAGAAGTCATGTTTATCCCAGGATATCTTCTAATGAATAGTTAAATACAATGTGATTAGGATCTTTGTCCCTAATTCTACTTGCAATGATTCTAGAAAATCATTGCAAATAAATAATTAGGGGTACAAAAGTTTATTTATAAGGATATTCCCAGAGAATTATATATAATATTGGAAAAAAGTAAAAACACAATTGTCCAATAAGAGGAATTGGTTATATGTATTATGTTAAATCCATAAAATAAGATGAAATGCTGTATTACTATAAAAACTTTCAGTGAAATTTTGCTGACATAAAAAATGCTCAGTACATAACCTTAGGTTAAAAAAAAGCAGGATATGAGACTGTATGTAAGGTTTGATATTGCTTTTTAAAAAATCATATGTGTATGAACAAGAGAATAAAGTAAAGCATAGCAAAACGTTAACAATAACTAACTCTGGGTGACAGATTAGGATTTTTTTCTTTTATACTTTTTTTTTTTTTCCCTAAGTATAAACCACCCTGTGGAATGGTGGAAAGAAAAAAAGAGGTTTGAGAGTGACTTGGGTTCAAGTCCTGATTCTATTTATACTAGTAGTATAATAGGGTAGGTTTCCTGGGTATGTCACTTCACTTCTGTGAGTGCAGGTTTTCTTACCTGAGAAATGAGAATAATGATAACATCGCAGTGGGAGGATGTTTATCTGGGACTCTGAATACCAAAACAACTCCATTCTAGGATTATTCTAGAGGGATTTACCACATTATCTTCTGTCTCACAAATCGTGACATTGTAATTAACGGAGAAAGGATTGCTCCAGTGAGTAGCATGTGTCATGAATGGGGTGATGGGCCAGGTGGTGCATAAATGATGCTATGAAGTGTGAATAGCAGTGAGGACCACAGTGGATGAAACGGGATGCTGGGGTGTCACTGAGCTGTACCATGTTGACAGATCTCAGTGCTTTGAGCACAAGATTCCCCAACTTAGGAAACATCGGAAACAATTCTAGATAGTGATCGTTCCTCCACTGTAAGATTTCATGTAAGTTTGCTTTAAAGAACACAAAGCACTCTGCTATCCTCTTTACTGATCAGAGTACTGTGTCAAATAAACTATTGTTAGGGTTTCACTTCAGAGTTACATCTTCCTTCTGCCTGACAACCTTATACCTCTGGGGTGGGTAAGGAGTGGTGATGCTCAGGTGTTGGAATGTCAGTTTAGGTGATCAGAAAGCTCTCAAGAGAAGGTACTAAAAGATTATAGTTATCCTAATAAATGATCATACTTATTGAGTTTTTACTCTGCACTAGACACTACTCTAAGTTTTTTGCGGAGGGAGGTCTATTAAGCATGTCTTTTTATTCTGATGCTTTGACTACTTGGGGCTTTGCTGACCCTGGAGATTCTGCCCCTTCCAGGAATAGCCAATTCCTGGAGATAGTAAAGGGCTCACCTGTGAACACACCTTTCACAGGCTAATCAGATAATCCAGAGCTCACACTCATACTGCCAACTACCTCCTTAATTGGGCTTGCAAGCTCTGGGCCAATATTCCCCAGCCCCTATATGCTATGAGCCTGCTGAAATCATTCAAACGAGTCAATCCTAAGCCTTCTTACCCTGCCTCCCCTGCTCCTTCCCAAGAAAACCACAATAAAGGCTCTTCCCAACATTTTCCTCACATTTCCTCTGCCGCCAGACCAACCCTGGTGCTGCCCTCTGTGGACACTGCATGGTGTGACACGCCCCCTCTGGGAACTGTGAGTAATAAACCATCTTTTCAATGACGACTGTTGGCCTCATGCTGCCTGAATAATAACAAAACCTAAATTTTAAAACAGAAGGCATTATTATTAATATTATCCCCCTTTCATAGATGAGGAAACTGATGCCCAGAAAGGTTGTGTGTCTTTCCCAAGATAACACAGCAAACAGGAAGGGCAGCCAGAAGTTGAACTTAGTCTGTCTGACTCCAAGATGGTGCCAGTAGCCAACGTGCTATACTAGGAAGCTTAGACTCCATCCTATTTAAGAGTCCTTTGTAATCAGGAAAATGCAAAATTTGGGAGGCACAAGCTTGTGCGTGGTGGCTGGAGTCTGGTGAAGGAGGCATCAACAGACTCATCCACCACTCATGTGAAAGGGGGAAGGATGTCTTGAGTTATTCCCTGTGCTGGGTACCTCACAAATGTTTTCTCACTCAATTCTTAGAACACCTCAATGGATTTATTATCCTTGATTTACAGTTGAGAGAAATAGGCCTTTGAGTGGCAAAATAAATCCTAAACCCATCGGGGCTCTATGGTTAAAAGCTCCAACTCTAGAGTACAGGATATTCCAGGTGAATCTCAACACCATCATTCATCACTGTAAGGCATGTCACTGAGCCATCTGAAGCCTCAGTTTTCTCACCTGTCAATTGGGAGCAACATGGTATCTGCTTCAAAGGGTGCTTGTAAAAATTCTGTGAGATAGTGCACATAAAAGACTTAACACAGTGCTCAACCCTCTTTAAAAAATTCGTTTTTGTTCTAAGTCATTTCTGAGCACGAGGTTCCCAAGCAACAGGATGCACCTAATTGGCAGGAAACCCAGAGTGCCGGGTCCTTCAGAATTCAGCAGTGTCAGAAATAAAAGCCTCATTAAAACTTCCTTTTAAACCCAACTTTCAAGAGAAACTCACTTTAAGGAAAAAAGAATTGCTGAAGATGAAAACTCCAGCAGAAAACCAATTATTCTGGTACATTTTGTTAATCACATTTTTTTTCTTTTGCTAAATTTACACTAAACTATACCAACATAATTATTGCAATTTGGTTTCAGATAACAATATTAACTAGATAAAGATTTGGGCATAAAATAATCAGGCCGACTGACTTCCTCTAAAGTGGCCCAAGCAACAGATGTTGAGAATTCTGATCTTCCAGAAATATCTCCTCAGGGTTTTTCAGTGAGGATGCAGTGGGGGCCCTTTTCCAAGGAAGACTCTCTGTAACATCTCTCGGTGGTGTTAAGTCTAACTGCACTCATCTGCAGGCCTGCAACTTTCTCAAACAGCTTCCCCAGTGTTAGCTCCCCCAGCTATTGCAACCACCTGTGGACAAGATTAGGCAAGGATTTGCATGGTCATGGGAGCCTAGAAGCCTTTCTGGCTATACTTTCTCAGGACACTCTGCCCTGTATCCTGGGACTGTGTCCTGGGCCCTTCTTCTCCTTCTGTACTTCCAAAGACATCTCATTCTGTCTGTGGCTGCAGTTACCTATTTGCTGACAAGTCCTAAACTCCTCTTTTCTATACTAGTCATGTAGAGACAGCTGTGTTTTGGTGGTTGCATTTGTCATCTCCAAGATAACTCAAACTCACTGTGTCTAAATCTGACCTCTTTGCCTCCCTGGCATGCCCCAACCCTGCTGCACCTCCACGGTCTCCACCTTAGTGAATGATGCCACTCTCCATCTGGTTGCTTAAAGCAGCTATCTAGGCACCACCCAAATTCAATCCATGATCAAGCTCTATTGCTTCCACCTCCTATGTGTGCTTCTGATGTCCATTCTCAGCTTTCATACCCACAGGCTCTGATTCAGTGAAGGCTGCCAGCATTTCCCTGGGTATTGGACACCCGGCTCCCATCCTCTCCTTCTTCATTCCATTCTCTACACAGCAGCCAGAGTGATCTGATTGATCTAAAACTCAATTAGGATTATGTCACTCCCCATTCCCCCAGAGCTTAATAACCATCAATGGCTCCTTAGTGCACTGAAGATGAAATGAAACCTCCTTAACTCAACCTTTAAGTCCTCGCAGGATTGACTGTGCTTCCCTCTCTAGTCTCTTATCTCACCACCCCCAGCCTAATTTTTTCCTGACTCTTCATCCATCAGCTCCCTTTCCTCCCCCAACCCTTCTACATATTCTTCCATGTGGGCAATGTGTTCTTTTATTTTTGCACCTTTTTGCACATTCTTTTGATCTGGAACACCTCACCCTGCCCTTGTACTCAACCTTTAACTTAGGCTCAGGATTATCATCTCCTGGAAGCCCTCCCTGACCTCCCAGATTGGATTTGGTTCCTCTTTTATTCCCACAGTCCTGTGTTTATTCTCAGAATAGCAGTTATACTTTGCTAAAGTTGAATGTTTCCTTATCTGCTTTCCACTAGAAAGAGAGAGTAGGGGCCTCTGGTGGTTTTAATATGTCCAGTATATTCTTTGATACTCCATCATGTACAAGATAGAGCTTAATTCTCCTCCCCTTAGGTGTGGACTGGATTTGGCAACTTGCTTTTAACAAACAGAATATGGTAGAAACAATGATATGTACATTTATGAGACTAGATCATAAATGACAATGAGGCTTGTAGCCACCACGCTGTGAAGTCATTCAAGCAGCCTATACACAGGCCTAAGGGTTGAGGAACTGAGGCCTCCTTCCAACAGCCGTGCGAGTGGGCCACCATGGAACTGGATCCCCAGCCTGGTGAGCCTTCAGATGAGACCACAGCCCTAGCCAACATCTTGACTGCAACCTCATAAAAGCCCACTCAGAACCACTCAGCTAAGCCATTCCCAAATTCTTGACCACAGAAACTTAAGATAAGAAATGTTTTCAGTGGCTAAGTTTTGGCATAATTTGTTATGCAGTCATAACTAATACAACACTGAGTCTTGTGTCCCCTGCATCTGCTACAATCCTAGCACATAGCAGGCAGTCAACAAATAGCTACTGAATAAGTAAATGAGTTGGGTAACTTGTTATGGCCACATAATCCATTGGAAACCAGGCACACAAGTTTGTTAGGGTCATTCTTTCTAGTATACCCTACTCAGATTCCTCCATTCTCACCCCAAAATCCAGCCACCTTGGCCCTGTAGACAGGTACACCCTGGCCCTTCCAAAACCATTGAAAGACTTGAGAAGTGCCCCTCTGCCCAGGCTGTGGCTCTCAATGGCCAGGGAAGGGCCCACTTACCCAAGGGCAAAGACGTCAGAGTGCTTGGAGAAGGGGAGCTTATCCTCCTCTGTGTCGGGGGACAGCTGGCGGATGATCTCTGGTGCCAGGTGGCACAGCCAGCCATTCTGGATGCGCAGTTTGTCCTCCCGTCTGGAGAAGCAAAGCACAGGATGAGCTCTGTTTCATAGCCCAGGGAGGACCAGCCCCCCTGGCACTGACCACATGTCCCTGGAGCCATCTCTGCTGCCCTTCTTGCTTCCCCCATTGAGCACTGCCTGACCACCTACTGGAGGCAGAAACCCAGTAGGAGGTACAGGGAAGGCTGCTCTAGTGAAACACTCAGGATCCAAACCATCATTGAATTCCGTTGCCTCTGAGGCACCCACCTTCTTGCCCATCTTCATTCAATGACACTGTGGATTCTTGCTATTCATGGCAGTTACGTTCTATAAAGTCACTGGAACATGGAATTAGTAGAATACTGAATCATTGCTCCTGGGGAAATATGTACACATGCACACATCCCTCACATAGTTTATAATTTTAACCCCTGAAAACAACTTATCCTAATAGATTCTGTTTTATTTTACATAATAGACTATGAGGCTCAGAAGTATTAAGTGACTTGTCTGAGGCAACCCTACTAACAGGTGCCAGAGTTGGGATTCAAATCTCATCCAACTGGCCCCAGAGCTGCAGCGTCTTATGCTACCCTGTGCTGCCCACTCTGGCTCAATCTCTGTCCTCAAGGCTTCTCTGTATGAGACCAAAACAGAGGCAGAGCATCCTTGGTTTGACCTAAGCTGGGAACATGTGCATCGGGCAACTCAGAGTTTTCCCCACTCTGCATGTCCGTGAATAACTGTGAAAGTGCTGTGAGTATTCATTTGGGAGATTGCAAATACATTTCAGTAATCCACAAATAATGATAATCTACTGTTTTTCTATCACCTATGATGCCTAGGTTCTGCGCTTGGCACGGAACAAGACTGACAAGGTCCCTTCCCTCCTGGAGCTTGCACTTTGGTAGGGAAGGGAGACAATAAATGAGTTCAATAAATAAGAAAAACTAAAGATCGTGATAAGCATTGTACAAATAATTAAAATAGAGGATGCATCAAAGACAAGACAGATCTTACTGCAGGTAAACTGTGAGCTAGGATCTATGTGACATAAAGGATCCAGCTATGTGAACAAGGAGAATATCTAGGCAGAAGGAGAAGCTAGGACAAAGTTCCAACAAGGGCCCCATTCAGGGTGTTCCAGAACCCTAAAGAACCCCAGTGTAATTGGAACACATCATCCCATCCTATGTATCAAAGTGTATACAACCACCTCCTTGCTGATGGGCCTTGGGCGGGCGGTTCCCTCTTCCACCATTATGAACAATGCTGCCATGAACATCTTTGGGTAGGTACTGGGAATATCTCCCTTCACCCACATTAATTTATTCCTTAGGTAAATTCTTAGATGTGGAGGGAGGCTGGCTCCCTTCTTTCACTGGAAGTCCTTAGCAAGGCAGAGCTTTCCAGGTGGGTCCGAAATCTAAGCAGACCCCGTCTGAGATCTTCATTGACTCGAGACTCCTAGGAACTGGCTCATTAACACAGGGGAAGTGAGCAGTCGGGGGGAGAGGGGGTGCATCAGGGGAAGTGAGCAGTCGGGGGGAGAGGGGGTGCATATCTTGAATCATCATTAACAGTGAGGTCACGTAGGATGACAGCCTCTAGCATGAAGGTCTCTGTGGGGACCTGGGGCTGGCTAGATTCTTCCAGGGAGAGTTTCTGAGATGCAGAAGTTGTGACATGTTGCTCTCTCAAATGCACTCATTCATATCCCATAATCATGATTTTTGCCATATCTAAATACCTTCAAGAGCAGCATTGTACAATAGAACTTTCCATTATGACAGAAATGTCCTCTATATGGCCCAATGTGGCAGCCACTAACCACCATAACTATCAAGCACTTGAAATGTGGCTTACAACTGAAGAACTAAACTTTAAATTTTTTTTTTTTTTAATTTTAGAGATAGGGTCTGCTGAGACAGCCTGTCAATCACCCAGGCTAAAGTACAGAGGTGAGATCATAGCTCATGGAAGCCTTGAAGTCCTGGCCTCAAGTGACCCTCCCATCTTCAGCCTATGAAGTAGCTGGGATTACAGGCACGAGCAACCGCACCCTGCTAATTTTATTTTATTTTTCGAGGAGATGTGGTCTTGCTATGTGATCTTGCTATCTTGCCTAGGCTGGTCTCAAACTCCTGGTCTCAAGGGACCCTCCAGCCTCAGCCTCGCAAAGCATTAAGATTATAGGCATGAGCCATTGCTCCCAGCCCTGAACTTTTCATTTTAATTAAAGTTAAATTTACGTAGCCACATCTGGCTAGTGGCCACCAAACTGGACACCACTGTTCTAGACTATCATGTACTAAGAAATGCATTTTTAACTTAAATATATTTTAATAGGTCACTCTTTAGTGTGGCCATAAATGGAGACTAGTGATTTTCTAATACACGTTAAAATTAAGATAGAAAATGTTTGTTCATGTCCTCCCCCAAATCAACTTGCAGATCAACACCTGTAGAAACACTGGGTGGAGGAAAGATCCCTGAATGAGACTCCAAGAGTTTGGGGCTCAGGGTTCCAGTACTGCAGTGACATTCACTAGCTGGGTAGGGCTGGGTGTGTCCCATACATGTAGTTCTTTAAGATCTCTTTCATTCCCCCTCCATCTTACACATGAAGGTGGCATTCATTTGCATATACTCAACTTTTTGTAGAACCCAAAACAGGGACTGTAGGAAAGGAAGCATATCTGGGTAACTGCTGCAATCGCAACTCTCAGTTGCATTTGGATGGTGGCTTACCACAGGTATCCCACCCTGGGCCACCCATCCACCTCCTGCATTCCCAGGCTAGGAGCAGACTGGCATGCATGCAACAGAAAAAACTGTGGCCAGGAAGACACCATTAAATTTGTTCTAACTTAGGATTTCTCAACCTTGGCACTATTGACATTTGGGTCTGGGCAATTCTTTGTTGTTGGGGGGCACAGGGGCTGTCCTGGGCATTGTAGGATGTTCAGCAGCATCTCTGACCTCTACTTATTAGAGGCCATTAGCACCCCCCTTCCCCCAATCATGACAACTAAAAATGTCTTCAGACATCATCAAATGTCCCCTGGAGGAGAAAAATTGCCCTGGTTGAGAATCACTGTCCTAATTTATACAAAATAAGGAAATGGTCCAAATCTCAGTGTTTCAGGATTAATAACACATGACTTGCTCCTGCATTCTACACAAAAGACATGATGCAACATATCCTGTGCTAGGAACTACTACTCAAACTCACTAGCAAACTCTTGAGTCAGCAGAGTTAAATCAGCTCTTGCTTCTACAATCAGGAACACCCACAGAGGTTGAAGGCTCCATCTGTGCTTACTAGCTATGGAACCTTGAGCAGACCCAAATTTCTATTTTCCCATCTGTAAAATGGGCACATTAATTTGTACTTCACAGAGCTGTTGCAAGGACTAAAATGAGACAGTGCATGGCACAGGACTGTGTCAGCTGCCAGAGCCACACAATTACTGGACATAATCATTACACATGTATATATCTGTTTACGTGTGTGTGTGTGTGTGTGTATCTTGAGGACTCAGAAGTGGATTTGAGACTAGAGCCCACAGTAGGAATGTCCTCCATGAAAGTCTTTGGCATAGGCCAGCCAACATTCCCCTGCAATGACTGGGCCACTGGCGGTGGAGTGGGTTGGGGTACTCCTGCCCGAGGGAAGCTTCTCTGCTCCCATCTTTTTTGCAAACACCCCTGCCACCTCTTCCTGACTCACGGGGTCAGCAGAGAACTGGCATTTTGGGGCCAGGGCAGGAGGTGGAATGGTGGCCACGCAAGAGCCATCAGCCTGGGGCCAGTGTGGTAGGGGGCCGGGAGCCAGGCCTGGCACTAACACCCTGTGGTGCCCCATTCCCATGGCGATAGGCCCACTGGTGGCAAACCCAAATCATCTTCATTATGGTTATTATGATTAATAACAGGCTTTGGGAGGCTGGCATGACAGCACTGGCATCTAAAAGGATACCTTTTTTGACGACGGCAGAACAGCTGTATGCTGGAGTCTGTCTGGATGTGCAGAACACACTCACATCACTGGGCTGCTCCATCCCTGCCTCGGGCTGAGGGCTGGTCTCTCCCTGCTGGGCACCAAGGGCTATCCATACCCCAAGCTCTAATAACTGAGGGGAGGGCAGGAGGGCAAGTGACTCCTGCTGAATGCTTACTGTTTGTCAGAGTGCCCATCCCACTTAGGCCTCACAAGCCCACAATCTGAGGGCTATCGTCCTGTTCTGTGGATAAGGAAACGGAGGCTCAAACATTTAAGTGACCTGTTCAAAGGGAGAGAGCTGAGATCTGTTTGAGCACAAGTCTTTAAAACCCCAGAGACTAGGCACCTCACCCCAATTCTACAAGAATTTCTGGAGAGAACCATTAAAAAGCCTGGCTGGGTATGGTGGTGCACACCTGTAAGCCCAAGATCTTGAGAGGCTGAGGTAGGAGGATGGCTCAGAGGTTGAGGCTGCAGTGAGCCATGATTGCATTACTGCATTCCAGCCTGGGTGACAAAGCAAGAGATCCTGTCTCAAAAAAAAAAAAAAAGAAAAAGAAAAAGAAAAAAAAAAAAGAAAAATGCTAAACTAAGCCTTCCTCATCTGTATCCCATTTAATCACCAAAACAGCCTTATGAGGTAGGTGCTATTAATTAGTGCCGGCCCCTACTCCTATTTTACAGGTGAGGAAACTGAGGATGGGGAACCCCTAGGTGTGTGTTAAACAAGTTTCTGGAATCTATCTCAAGGTATTATAGACTGAATTTTGTCTCCCCCAAATTTATTATGTTGAACCCCTAACACTCAATTTGATTGTATTTAGAGATAAAGCCTATAGGGAGGTGATTAAGGTTAAGTGAGGTCATAAGTCTGGGGCCCTAATCCGATAAGATTGGTGTCCTTATAAGAAGAGGAAAGACATCAAAGACCTCTCTCTCTCTCTTTCAGTGCACAGAGAAGAGGCCATATGAGGACACAGTAAGAAGGTGGGCCGTCTGCAAGCTGGGAAGAGAGCCCTCACTAGACACTAAATTTGCCAGCACCTTGATCTTGGACTTTCAGCCTCCAAAAACTGTAAGAAAATAAATGTCTGTTATTTAAACCCCTGAGTCTGGTATTGTGTTACAGCAGCCCAAGCTGACTAATACATGCACTCTCTAATTATTTGCTGACTGGCTGAGTGAATAATGAATGAGGGAACTTCCAGGCCTATCTCCTGAGAGATACTGGCCCTGCTTCCTGCAATGCCCAAAGCCTAGCCAGCTCCCTTCTCTCTCCACTCCTATAATCCAGCCCCCAGGTTGTTGATTAGGGCCATAGATGCCCCTTATTCAAGGGGTGTCTCCTGGCCTCTGGCTGCTGCACTGGGGGCTCCAGGCTGCAATGGGGGCAGTTACCAAAGATGCCTTTGCATAAACAAGAGGGAATAAATGGACCTGAACCCCTGAGGGGACTCTGTGGATCCCTAGAGCTACACTGGATGTATTCATAAATATTGAGGCAAATCCACTACCTGGGAAACGTCCTGGGATTCATGGGACACCCAAGAGTTCTACCTCCATGTCATGGTTTGCAACGTGCTTGCTTTGGTAGAACCCACTTGCTACATAAGTTTGATTACCCTGAGACTGCCATGGTGTGAGGAAGCCCAATGTAGTCATGCAGAGAGGCTGCATGAAGAGGGAAAAGCAGGGAGATGAGAGAGACCTCATTGGTCCCCCAGATGTTTCAGCCAGCCCAGCCCAGCTGTGTGAATGAGGAAGCCTTCAGTTGTCTCCAATTTTACCCCCCATCCAATTGTACCTACAGGACAAACTGAGCACAAGAGCTCAGCTGAGCCCAGTCAACTCACAGAACCATGAGGGATGACAATATCTTGTTTTAAGTCACTAAGTTTTGAGATGGTTCATTGCAGCATAATATGTAACTGGAACAAGGATAAAAGCATAAGAAGTCATTGATGGCTACGTGTGGGTGGCCGGGAACTGTGAATTTCTTGTTGGGAGATGTTGCTGAGGGCACTCCCTGGGTTTGTGTTGACAACCTGGCTGCGGCAGGGGTGGGAGGGGCTGCTGTCTGGACAAGCAGACTGGAAGCCACATTGCCCTTGACTTGGTTGAACTAACTTCCTGGTTGACATTGGGTCTCTATGAATGAGCTCAAGGAAGGGATGCCCAAGGCATTCCATTCCATTCCATTCCATTTCTTTTTCTTCCTCTTCTCCTTGTGGCTTCAGAAAACTGAGTCTAAAGGCAGAAAATCAGAGGTCCTGCACCCCTTTTCTCCACTGCAGGGAGAAGTCACTGGTGAGGAGAAAGGGAGAAGTGTGGACATGCCACCAGGAGGGAAGAATGTCTGCTTTTTATAAAAGCCCAGAAGCAAGTTAGAGAAAACTCTTACTGGGCCTCCTTTTGTCTTGATGCAAATACTTGGGTTCACAGTGAAGTCACCCACCATTGCATCCTTGCAGTTCCCCTGGGACACTGGGAAACTGGGAAGGGTATGAGTTCCCTGCCAGTGAACCAGGAACTTAATTGCTGCAGGGGAGTCAGAGGGAAGCAGGGATTCTATACGGTCTTGCCCTCCTGGGCTTCTTGGGTTCCAAACTGGAGGGACTCTCTCCAGTACCTCTTGATATATTTATATATTTACTGCCTACTTACTGCCTTAGGGACTACAGATAGTTTTGTAGACTATGGTTAATCTTTCTTGGGTGGAGTAAAATCTGAAAAAGAAACTTAAGCATCTGTTTGGTCCTCATCACACAGAAACAGCTACGTTAAGTTTTGTCAAATTCCAAACGGTCCGACTTATAACAGATTCAAGGTATCATACTGCACAAACAAGATTCACTTTGTTGGGGTCCCTGTGGCATTCCTCAAAAAAAAAAAAAAAAAAAATCAGTGGTTCTCAAAAGCAGCTGAAACGGAAGTAAAATGAGAGAAACTGTGGGCTTTCTGAAGAGATGCACCATTCGTTACAAAATGCAGGATTACAAAAAGCATGCAGAGGTTTAGGTTTAAAATGAGAGCAAGAGCGAGAGAGACAGCGAGAGAGTGAGACAGAGAGAGAGAGCACAGTTCGAATTAAAAGTCACAAGGGTAGACTTTCTGAATTATGGGTTATCTGAGATCAAGCTGGTTTTCACGTGGCCAATTCAATGCGGCTTGCTCTAGGGTGAGTAGTGGCTGAGAGTTAATTACTTAACGATGGTTAATGATTCTCCTGGGTGATACTGGGAGGTATATGCAAATTAATACTAATTACAACAACTCAGCAGCAGCTACCCTTTGTGGCGCTTTTGAGGTGCATCGGGCATTGGGTGGATGCTCGATGCTTGTTCTCATTTTATCCTCACAGGAACTGATTGAGGAAGACATCATCAAACCTACCACTTTTCTTGCAGACAAGGACACTAAAGTTCAGAGACGTTGTTCGACTTGATTAAAGTCGCATTTAATAAGTGGAAGGGCTGTGTCAGGCCATGGTTGCCTCTGACTTTAAACCCTTTGCTGTTAACTGTACTCTTCCTGTACTAAAATCAATTAATTCCTAAGAAAACTTTGAGCAAGGCCTCTTGGGTGATCTCAACTTCCAGGTGAGTACTTAGGGTTAGAGGAGAGCCCTCCAGTTAAATCCAAGGGTAGGGGCTTTGAAAGATCTGGGGATGCTCTGTGTCCAATCACACACACTCAAAGGTGAGCAAGGTGCTGGCCTCCCCACGGGGAAACACGGCATGGCCTTGGCATCCTGCATCAGTAGAGCAGCCGACCCACTCAGCTCAGCAACCTCAGGCCCAACCCTGAGTCTAGGTCACTAAAGCCATTTGGACTAACTTCCCATTTCCTGACCATCATCTGTTAGGAAACTCTCCGGGTGCTCCCACCGCCTCTCACCTGCCAGCCTGCAGCACCCCAGAAATGCTGAAGAGTCCAAAGTCCGTGATGACCACTTTGCCGTTGTCGTAGAAGACATTCTTTGACTTGAGGTCCTTGTGTAGGATTCCCTTGGCGTGGAGGTAGCCCATGCCCTGCAAGAAGCAAGGAACAGGGAGTTGCCAGAGAACAACCTAAGAGCTCGCTGCCACCCTGGCTTGAGTTCACATCCCTTGTCCTGAAGACTTGGCTCCCTAATGGGACCACACTCAACAGTGGCAGGGCCTGGGTCTGACCATGGGTCCTGGGGGAGAGGTCGGGGAAGGCATGGCAGGCAGGAACAGGCAGGGCCCCCAAGACACAAATCCATTGCCACTCTCAGACCACAGAAAGGCCATCCCCACTTGCTCATGTGATTCCTGAAGAAGAAGCAAAAGAGATCCCTAGGGAAAGGAATTCAACCAACCATTTTCATCCACTTCCCCTTTAAAGACTAACTCTTCTGCAAGACTACATAGTCAGACCTACTTAACCTATGCTGCTGCAGAAGGCACTGAGTTCCTACAGAGATGCTCATAACTGCTCATTAAGAACAGAGAAGAGTCTATTGGAAGCCTCGTTCAAGGGCAAACATCTAGAGTGGCAGTGGTTTCTTTCTTTTTGCCTTTGTGAGCAGTCACATCGTTCCTCTTACAGCTTGGTCCTAACACCTCCAAATGAGAAATGAAAGCTTGAGTACAACTAATAAGGCACCTGCCAGAAAACACAGGATGTTCTTGTTTGTTTTAATCCAAAACAACACCCAAAAATTTGATGTTTCCCTAGCAGCAGTGGAGAGAGAGATGGTTTCCACTCATGGGAGTTCAAGGCCTCAAGGGATGGTGGATCCTAACCAAGAGGGCTGAATAGCTTGTATGTGACCCCTGGTCCTTGCATAGGTCCAAGTACCATAGCAATGAGACACCAGATGGAAACCAACCATTGGTGGATAGTTCCTACAGATCGTATCGAGGCAGAATTCTTACTTACACATGGCCTGGCATTTTTCAGGTCAAGTCTAATTTCTTTTAAGTCCAGATTGGTAGTCTGAAATCCAACCATGAATGTTAGGAGTCCTGGGGTTGGGGGGCTTCTCTGGGGGAAACTGGGTCTTTCTGAGATTTAGGTAGGAGGCCCTAGAGCCGACAGTACCTTCACAATTTCTTGAGCAATCTGCCTGGTTTTGTTGACATCCAAGACGATTTTGGCGTCCCTCACGACAGAATAGAGCGTCCGTCCCTTACAGAGGCTAAAAAGCAAAAGGACAAGATAAATTAATGGCAGTCGTTCAGAAGAGGGTGACCCATGACAGTTACTTCAAGTGACAAATGATGGAAGAGACACGTGGACACACCACTATTGTGCTTATGAGATAATAAGTCTGGGACTGGACTTCAGATCTGGTTCTGGGATGGAGATCTGGGAGGAAGTTCTTGTAGATTCTTTAGAAACTTGGCCAACGTGGCTGACCGACAAGGACACCCACAGAATCTAGCCTAGTCCAGAAATGGGTTTGCCACGTCCAGTCCATCCCAGAGGCTCACAGGTGGAAAGCAGCACATAAATCAACAACTTCTGGGTCCTCAGACGCCACTCAGACAGCATTCTGTTGGCCATTCACGCCAGCTGCATGCACTTGCCAGGAGTCAGTGTGTGAGGACAGTGATGAAAGACCTGTAAAGTGGTGGCTGATGTGTATTAAGTATCATCAGCAAACGATGCAGTCAATTGTTTGGACGGGGATGTGTAAACACCAGTAATACCACCCCCAAACCAGACGCCTGTCTAGATAGTTTTTCAAACTATTTTCAGCCTCATTGAGTTCATTTCCAGGACCAGTAGTTTAAGATGAATGACAGGATGAAAAAGGACATTATGCAGTGAAAGTAACACCTTCTCATTTAGTCGCCTGTATGCTCATCCGTCCCGTTCCTCTGCAGTGAGTCCAATCCCCAGCACGCACAGAACAGGCACCCACAAGCCGTCACTGAATGAATGGATTCTAGATTCATCATAGCACTCTCAGCCCCTAGCACTGTGACTGGCTCAGAGTATGCAATGTGGGCCAAAAGAAGAAAGAATGTCACTGTGAAAATTAATTTTCCATCTCCATCAAAATCACTGTTCGAATCTTCCTCTTTTAACCTATGACGTTATTGCTAAAATACTCCTGGCATTGTGTTCATCCATTTGGTATTTACTGAGCCCTTGTCGTGTACTGGGCTTTGCTGAGATTGTATGTCCTGTGATTGAAGCAAGAACGCTGGTATCAGAGGGATCTCAGCTAGAATCCCAGCTGTGCTCCTTACCTGCTGTCTTGAGATGGGTTACCTCACCTCTCTGGGCCTCAGTTTCCTCATTGACCAAAGGAAACTAATAATACTTAACCCTGTAGTTGAGTATGAGGATTGAATGAAATACAGAGTTGGAAACAGGCCTTGGCATCCAGTGGGAAATATAGCACAGTGGTTAGGAGCATGGGGACTTAGAGTAGGACTAAGGGGTTAGAACCCTGATCTGTCATTTAGTGGCTGTGTGACCTTGGGCGGGTGCATTAACCTCTCTGAGCTTCAGTTTTATTATCTACAAAATGGGGCCAACAGCTCCTGCCTTTCTGAGTTGTCAGGAGAATCACATGAAACCAGGCATGTAAAGGTATAGGCACCTCTCTATGCCTAGTACATTTCATGGTAACTTTCCATGAGATCACTGGCTATTGTAAGAAGTTGTAAGTGATTAACAAAATAGTAAACAGACACACATACACTTGTGCAAATATATAAGTGATATATCTATATACATATCACACTGTTTATCTGTCCACCCATCCGTATACTCTTCTAAAATGCTACTGATAGCCACCCATGATCTTTAACATTTTTTTCTTCATCTGCTTAAGGTGAAGTCCCCAGGTAGCTGACTCACAGAAAGTCTGATTCACGTGTCCAAGGAGGTCACCCAGCCAGCCGGCAGGAGGCAGCCCAGAATGAGTCAGGGCTGACCCCGCATCCCCTAGGTTGCTGTCCCAGGCAGGGCGTTTGCTGTGGCTGCTGGAGCAGAGGTGGAGGAAGGGTGGGCAGAGCAGCCAATTACTCCATGTTGACATTTCAATATTTGAGACCGTGGGCGGATTCCCTCCCCTGGATACTTTGTTCCTGAACAGCCACCTACACTCATCACAGGCCAAAGCCCAGAAATCACCCTCCCCACTGCAGACCGCAGAGCAAATCACCGCCAACAAGGCTCCAAGACTCCCCGGAGTCTCCTGCTCAGGGTAACTGCAGGAAAGTCTCAAGCTTCAGATTTCCACCCCTTGTCTTCTTTCCCTCCTTACGTCATCTTTCCCTTCAGCAGCTACTGGTCTTTGCTTCTCTCACTCCCATATGACCTCAGGAGCTTCTGGAGAAACTACTGCACCAGTTTGGCACAGCTACTCAGGTGAAATATACATACAAATAATAACCTGATATGGTTTGGCTGTGTCCCCACCCAAATCTCACCTTGAATTGTAATAATTCCCACGTGTCAAGATCAGGGCCAGGTGGAGATAATTGAATTATGGGGGCAGTTTTCCCCCTACTGTTCTCCTGGTATTGAATAAGTCTTATGAGATCTGATGGTTTTATACAGGGGAGTTCCCCTGCACAAGCACTCTTGTCTGCTGCCATGTAAGACGTGCCTTTGTTTCTCCTTTGCCTTCCACCATAATTGTAAGGCCTCCCCAGCCATGTGGAACTGTGAGTCCATAAAACCTCTTTCCTTTATAAATTACCCAGTCTCCGGTAGGTCTTTATTAGCAGCATGAAAACGGACTAATACAAATCTACAACGAGCAATTCTTCCTCTAAGTAAGTACCCAACAGATATGAATTCTCATATTCACCCCTACACATGCACTAGAATGTTAACAGCAACCTGTCTGTTGGAATCCCAAACTAGAACCAACCAGCAATGGATTGAATGTTTGTGTCCCCAAATCTGTATGTTGAAATCCTCATCCCAGTGTGATGGTATTAGGAGGTGGGGCTTTGGAAGATAATTAAGTCATGAGGGCGGAGCCTCATGAATGGGATTAGTGCTCTTTTAAAAGGGACTCCAGCCAGTTCTCTCACTCTTTTCCTGCCATATGAGGATACAAGGAGAAGTCAACAGTCTGGAAGATGGCCCTCCCCAGAATCTGCCCATGCTAGCACTGGATTGTTGACTTTTCAGCCTTTGGAACTGTGAGAAATAAATTTCTGTTGTTTCTTTCTTTCCTTTTTTTTTTCTTTTTTTTTTTTTGAGATAGAGTCTCCCTCTGTCATCCAGGCTGGAGTGCAGTGGCACAATCTTGGCTCACTGCAACCTCTGCCTCCTGGGTTCAAGTGATTCTCCTGACTCAGCCTCCTGAGTAGCTGGGACTACAGGCACAATTTCTGTTGCTTCTAAGCCATCCAGTCTGCAGTACTTTGTCATGGTAGTCCAAACTAAGACGCAACCCAAATGTTCGTCAACAGAAAAGTGCATAAAATATGATATATACATATAACAAAATATGTTCATGCTGCACTATATAAAAATAACCAAACTACTGCTAACTGCAAAAAGTATGGATAAAGCTCACCAACATAATGTTGAGTGAAGGAAGCCTGACACCCAAGACTACTCCATTTATATAAAGTGCATAAGTAAATGAAACTGACCTAGGTGCTGGAAGTCAGCACAGTGATGGCCCTTGTGTGTGTGTGTGGCAGGCAGTGGTGCTGGAAGGAGCATTATTAGGGGGCTGGGGGAAGGCAGTGTTCTGTGTTTTGATTTGGGTGCTGGTTACATGGATACACTTAGTGGAAACTCACTGGGCTGTTCTTTTATGATCTGGATACTTTTGCAGGTATGTTATCCTTCCAAAACATGTTTTAAAAAGTCATAGCCTGGGCAACACGGCAAGACCCCGATTCTACGAAGGATACACAAAAAAACTAGCCATGTGAAGTGGCACATGCCTGTAGTCCCAGCTATTTGGAAGGCTGAGGAGGGAGGATCTCCTGAGTCCAGGAGGCAGAGGTTGCAGTGCATGGTGATTGCACCACCACAATCCAGCTTGGGTGACAGAGTGAGACCCTGTCTCAAAAAAAAAAAAAAAAAAAGAGTAAGCAGGGAAAGAATTAACAATTAATATAATTAATATATGGTGTTGAAATCTGTAAAAAATGTAAAGCAGCACTGATACCCAAGGTATCCTTTTCTAAAGCCTTTACACAGTGAAGACTATTTGCAGATGGGCAATGTCTACAGAGGAATTTGGGGCTCCAGGCCTGGCTGTGCCCACCTGAGTGTTTATCAAGAGCTAAGCTGGAGAAAAGTTGAAGATGAAAGCTGAGCTTTAAAGATGAGCAGGCATCAGGCAGATGTCCAGGATGACTGAGGCTAGGATGGTCCCGGCAAGTCAGTTCAAGTGTCCACAGCAACTGCTCTGAGCTTCGAATTCCTCATGACTAATAATGGTGGCCTAAAAGCCACTCGCAGTGTGGGATGTGGGGAAAGGAAGGGAGAAGAGGATGAAAGTTTACTGAGCATGTGCTTGGGACCTAGATCACCTCCATGATTCCTTCTAGCAATGCTGCAACCCCTATATATAATAGCAAACCCTATTATATCTATTTTATGGGTGAGGATATGGACACCCAGAGGCCCAGCTTGTGGATGCATAGCCTTGATGGGAACCCACTCCCAATCTTCTTCCTGTCTTCTCCTCCACTGTGTGGGTGCCCAGTTATCAGACATGATTCTTGAACCACTAATCAGGTATCACAGCTAAGGGAACAGAGGAGCACAAACTGAGTCCAAATCCTGACTCCAGCATTTACTACTTGCTGGGTGACCTTCAGATGTGACTTCAACCTCAGTTTCCATGTCTGTAAAATGGGTCCAGCAGAAGCAATACAGGCTGACATGTCCTGGGCACATTCTATGTGCCAGGCAGCCTAAGGATAAGAGCCCTTACAAAGTGGGTATTCTTGCTGTATCTCATTGATTCCAAATATGCACATTTCTAAAATCAGAATGTGTCCTGCAATCATGCACAGAGCATAGTTTCATTGGCACTGTATTTCTTTCTTTGTAGCACATAAAATAAATGGTGAATATTCTTTTCTTTGAAATGGGGTCTCACTATGTTGTCCAGGCTGGTCTCAAACTCCTGGGCTGAAGTGATCCTCCTGCCTCGGTCTCCCAAAGTGCTGGGATTACAGGCGTGAGCCACTGCACCCA